AGGGTCCCATTGAAAGAGAAGAAGTGGGTGAGCGCCAAAGGTACACAGCAGCTACTAAATTCTACCATAATCTCTCAGCCTTACAACTCAAAAGATAACCAAAAGGCCAGAGACATGGCTTTGGGGTTAAGAGAGCTGGCTACTCTTGCAGAGGACCTGAGTTTTGTCCCATCACACACATTGAGCAGCTCACAGCCAGCATGCCTGGACGTACATGCACATGCATGCACATACATAGTTTCTTTTGTCTTTCCACCTTAAAAATAAATTTGAAGAAGATAACCACATGTAGACATCCAGTTGGACCAGCACCATTTGTTGAAGATGCTATCTTTTTTCCATTGTATGGTTTTGGCATCTTTGTCAAAAATCAGCTCTCCATAAGTGTGTGGGTTTATTTCTGGGTCTTCTGTTCGGTTCCATTGATCCACCATTCTGTTTCTATGCCAGTACCATGCAGTTTTTATAACTGTTGCTCTATAATACAGCTTAAGATCAGGGATGGAGATACCTCCAGAATATCTTTTCTTGTAGAGGATTGTTTTAGCAATTCTGGGTTTCTTGTTATTCCATATAAAGTTAAGAATTTTTCTTTCCAGGTCTGTAAAGAATTGTGTTGGTAATTTGATGGGAATTGCATTGAATCTGTAAATTGCTTTTGGTAAGATGGCCATTTTTACTATGTTAATCCTGCCAAGCCATGAGCATGGGAGATCTTTCCATCTTCTGATATCTTCTTCTAATTCTTTCTTCAGAGACTTGAAATTTTTTTCATACAAGTCTTTGACTTGCTTGATTAGGGTTACACCAAGGTACTTTATGTCATTTGTGGCTACTGTGAAGGATGTTGTTTCCCTAATTTCCTTCCCAACCCTTTTGTCTTTTGCATACAGGAAATGCAAATAGATCCATACTTATCACCCTGCACAAAACTAAAGTCCAAGTGGATCAAAGACCTCAACATAAAACCAGACACATTAAATCGGTTAGAAGAAAAAGTGGGGAAAACCCTAGAACTCATTGGTACAGGAGACAACTTCCTGAAAAGAACACCAACAGCACAGGCTCTAAGAGCAACAATCAATAAATGGGACCACATGGAACTGAAAAGCTTCTGTAAAGCAAAGCACACCCTCATCAAAACAAAACGACTGCCTACAGATTGGGAAAGAATCTTCACCAACCCTTTATCTGACAGAGGGCTAATATCCAGTATATATAAAGAACTAAAGAAGCTGAAAAGCAGCAAACCAAGTAATCCAATTAAAAAATGAGGAACAGAGCTAAACAGAGAACTCTCTGTAGAGGAATATCGAATGGCAGAGAAACACTTAAAGAAATGCTCAACATCATTAGCCATTACGGAAATGCAAATCAAAACGACCCTGAGATTTCCCCTTACACCCATCAGAATGACCAAGAAGACTCAAGTGACAACACATGCTGGAGAGGTTGTGGAGAAAGGGGAACCCTCCTCCACTGCTGGTGGGAATGTAAACTTGTACAACCACTCTGGAAAGCAATCTGGTGCTTTCTCAGACAACTAGGAATAGCACTTCCTCAAGATCCAGCCATACCACTCCTAGGCATATATCCAAAAGGGGCTCAAGTACACAATAAAGACATTTGCTCAACCATGTTTGTAGCAGCTTTATTTGTAATACCCAGAAGCTGGAAACAGCCCAGATGCTCCTCAACTGAAGAACAGATGCAGAAATTGTGGTACATCTACACAATGGAATATCACTCTGCAAGGAAAATAAAAAAAATCATGAAATTTGCAGGTAAATGGTGGGACCTGGAAAGGATCATCCTGAGTGAGCTGTCCCAGAAGCAGAAAGACACACACAATATATACTCACTCATATAGATATATAATAGGATAAACCTACTAAAACCTGTACATCTAAAGAAACTAATCAAAAGAGAAGACCCTGACTAAAATGCTCAATCCCCATCCTGAAAGGCAAAGAGGATGGACATCAGAAGAAGAAGAAAACAGGAAACAAGCTAGAAACCTGCCACAGAGGGCCTCTGAAAGCCTCTGCCCTGCAGACTATCAAAGCAGATGCTGAGACTTATGACCAACTGTTGGGCAGAGTGCATGGAATCTTATGTAAGAAGTGGGAAATAGTAAGAGCTGGAGAGGACAGGAACTCCACAAGAAGAGCAACAGAACCAGAAAATTTGAACACAGGGGTCTTCCCACAGACTCATACTCCAACCAAGTACCAGGCATGGAGATAGCCTAGAACCCTTGCACAGATGTAGCCCATGGCAGTTTAATGTCTAAGTGGGTTACATACTAATGGGAAGAGGGACTGGCTCTGACATAATCTGATTGGCCTGCTCTTTGATCACCTCCCCCTGAGGGGGGAACAGCCTTACCAGGCCAGAGAAGATGACAATGCAGCCACTCCTGATGTGATCTGATAGACTAAGATCAGAAGGAAGGAAAGGAGGACCTCCCCTATCAGTGGACTTGGGGAGAGGCATGCATAAAGAAGGGGGAGGGAGGGGGAGACTGGGAGGGGAGGAGGGAGGGGCTTATTGGGGGGATACAAAGTGAATAAAGTGTAATTAATAAAATAAAATTGAATTTAAAATAAAAGAAGATAACCACGTAGAAACAGAAAAGTTTATAGGCCAATAGGACAAAAAATAAGAAGTAAGATATCTAACCAAATGCCTCACACAGAGGACAAACAGTAATATAAACTCTTTCATTTCAACAAAGCATCTTAAAACTGCTTTAGAAAGGGGCTAGAGGGCTGACCCAGCAGCTAACAGTACCGGCTGCGCCTCCAGAGGAAGTGAGGGGCCCAACCATCTGAAACTCCAGCTCCAGAAGATTCGCCACCCTCTTCCAACCTCTGCGGCAGCAGGCATGCATGTGGTGCACATACACATACATGAATGCAAAACATGCGCACAAGAGAAAACAAATTTAAAACAAAATCTAATCCCTCAGAAAGAAAAATGAGGCTGTTAAAAAATTTAGAAGATATGACTAACACAAAGTAGATTTATTTTAGTAACTGTTAAATTTCCATTTTCACCTCAAGAACCAGTCCTAAAAGACTAGGTATAAATCACTCTGAGGAGAGGACCCAGCTCGATTCCCTGTACCCCCATGATGTCCCACAGCTGTCTGAAACTCCAGTCTCAAAAAATCCAGTGTCCCCTTCTAGCCTCTCCAGACACTGCAGATAGGTGGTATACAGACACACACATAGGCAGAATACCCACACACATAAAATAAAAGTTATATATGCTCTGATGAAATCATACAGCGGAATTTATAATAATCTCCCATGAGTCTAAACAAGCTGGATACATTCAAATAAGTTTAATACAGTGAGTGAGTGAGTGAGTGAGTGAGTGAGTGAGTGAGTGAGTGAGTGTGCATGCGCGCAACTGATACTGGAAAAATCTTCAAAATAAAATATTTTTTAAAATTACCCATGAGAACACTGGGGAACATCCTGGAAAGATTTCATACTGGTGAAAAGAACGATCTCTTTTCTTTCTTTCTTTCTTTCTTTCTTTCTTTCTTTCTTTCTTTCTTTCTTCCTTCCTTCCTTCCTTCCTTTCTTTCTCTTTCTTTCTTTTTGGTTTGTTTTTCCAAGATAGGGTTTCTCTGTGCAACCTTGGCTGTCCTAGACTCACTTTGGACACCAGGCTAGCCTCAAACTCACAGAAATTTGTCTACCTCTGCCTCCCACAGCACTAGGATTACAGGCATGCACCACCATACCCAGCTACTATCTCTTTCTCTCTCTCTATCTCTGTCTCTTTCTCTCTCTCTATCTCTGTCTCTTTCTCTCTCTCTAAGAGAGGGCAAGGTAAAGGCATTTAACAGTATAAAAATAGAGAACAGTTACTTTCACTTCCAGAAAGTTGCTGGAGTCCTATCAAATTAAACCCATAAGTAAATGTCAGATGAGGCTTCAGAGGCTCATGGAGAAGTCAGTGGCTCACCCTTACATTACAACAGCTGGTTACTGGGTACCGGTGGGCTAGCTCAGACAAAGAGACATCTGACTTGTCTAAGAGCCATCTAAAGAGCCTGCCAGCCATGTCGGCAAGATAGGGGATCTGAGGTGGTTTTCTTTTTCTTTTTCTTCCCTTTTCTTCCAATAGGGTTCACAGCATTTCGAGTTCTTAAGTGTAAAAGGGAAGAAAATACATTCAAAGATGAGTAATTGTTTGTTTGAATATAAGTATCTGTTAAATACATCATCACAAAACAGAACACAGAAAAAAAAAATGACCATAGGATTAGCTTTTATACAAAAATGGACTTAATAGAAATGCTAAAAATAACAGACATGCTAGAATAAGGGGTTTTGTTTGTTTGTTTGTTTTGTTTTGTTTTTTGAGGTTCTCACTATGTAGTTCTGGCTGGCCTAGAACACTATGCAAGCCAAGGTGACCTCAAACTCAAAAAGATGCACCTGCCTCTGCCTCCCAAATACTTGGATTAAAGGTTTACACTACCATGTCTGACAAATTTTTAATATATACTAGTTAATGATTTGTTAAAGCTTTTCTCAAACACTGAGTTTTATATGCCTTTTAATTAATTATGGATTTAATTTTACATCACGTCAGAGGCTTTCTGTAAACACAGAAATACAGAAACCAGAACAAAGACAAAGAATGAGTTTTTCAAAAGGACAAACATGTTGAGTTTGGTGCCGAGCATTTGAAAATACGGGACTGGTAGGCACATACATTAAAGAAGCAAGATGAAGACCGGGATTCTGCCATTCTAAAGCATTAGCTGAAAAACCTAACCAGATCACAGGTGTCATATGCAAAATGTATTAAGATAAATGACAAGAAAAAATTACACATAAAATGATAGTAGCCTTCTGAAGTACAGTAATCTAATATAAAGAGCACTACAATGTTAACACAAAACTATTATAGGTCCAGAGCCCAAAACAAATAGCAAAGGTTTAAGTAATTTACTATGAACAGTAAAGGAGTCCTACCTTACTACTATCATTGCTGGCCATGTCTTAGCTAAAGTAGCAGCTCCATGGTGAGGAAATACACACTAGAGATGAGGAAGATACTCGAGAAAGTGTGCAGTGAAGTCTCACGGAAGTGATCATAGGTCTAGCCAAAAAAACTGAGCTGTAAGAAGAAATATAAGGAGTCAGAACTACTCACCACAGAGGAAAGAGGAAAACATGCATGTGTGAAGTACAGTCCAGCTACTACTAGAAACTATCCGCCCCAGGGGGCTGGAGAAGGCTCAGCAGTTAAGAGCTCTGGCTGCTCTTCCAGAGGTCCTGAGTTCAATTCCCAGCAACCACATGGTGGCTCACAACCATCTATGAGATCTGGTGCCCTATCTGGTGTACTGGCAGAATACTGCAGACATAGTAAGTAAATCTTAAAAAGAGAGAGAAAGAGAGAGAGAGAGAGAGAGAGAGAGAGAGAGAGAGAAAGAAATTAAGCTTCACCAAATATAAATACTACCCTGACCTAACTCGCTTGCCCACTGCTTTCTCCCTCCTCTCTCTCCACAGCTGACCCAAGGCTTGCCCCTTTCTTTCCCACCAACTCCCCCATTTTAAAGAGCCTACTCCTGTTTTTCTCCATTTTCAAAGCATAAAACTAACTTCAAGCTGGAAGCACAAACGATACAGGAACTATACTTATTTTAAAATGTTACACATGGAAGGGGGAATCTCAGTAGGCCCCACCCCTAGACAAAGAACATGAATTACCACCTGCTGAGAGGGAGGTTTAGTCTCCCCTGGGAGTGAACTCCCTAATTTGTTATCTAATACCAAGTGGTCTGGTCGGCCCTGAAATCATGCACATACAACAACAGACCCAGCAGGTTGTGTTTACATATTTATTCATTTTATTCATTTCATATATACAAAATCAAATATAATAAAAGAAAAGCAGGCCATGAATTTGAGAGGAAGATGGGGGGGGGCATACATGAAGGGCTGAAGGGATGGAAAAGAAGGAGTAAAAGGATGTAATTATATTTTAACTACAAAAAATTAGGGGGGTCTGAAGAAGTAATTAGGTATGGAAAGGATGACAAACGGTTAAGGAAGATTTTTCCAACAAAGGCATATCTTCTGTCTCAAATGCTTCAGTTTGCCTAAATATACCCCTTGACTGGGCTTAAAGACAACTTTGAGAGGCCTCTTGGCCATAGGTTCTTCTCCATCACTGACATCCATATGCAGTGGCCCCAGTCAATTCACAGAGATCAGTCCTGGGACCTGCAGATGCTCTGGTCCTTTACATAAACTGGCAGGGCAGGGACAAGGCTCGACATGTGCACGCTGCACATGCCTGCCAACTGGAGTCCAGGTCTCCAGGACTCACACCAAGAGCAAGATGAAATGGGAGGCGGACAGAGAGCTCCCGAGAAGCTGGACAGTCAGCTAGCCTGGAGCACAGCTTGGCAGAAACAAGGGGGACCCTGCCTCAACAAACAAACAAATAAAACTCCCCAAAGTTGTCCTCTGAACACCACACGCATCCCAACATCCACATAAAAATAATTTTATAAAATTATAATTTTATAAATTTAATAAAAATAAAAAAGGTAAGTGGCAAAATATAGCATAAAAACTGTCACATCGTCCTATATACTTTCAACTATGTCTGAGTTACTAACATAGCTTTAATGTCCATGTTATGTTTCAGTTGTTGTACAGTATTTGGGAGGGATAAAGACAAGCAAAGAACAAACGTGTGCATGTACAATATAAACACATTTTTTATATAACTGTTTTGAGTAATGATTGATTGAATTCTCAAACATCTATATGAATACCAAGGGCCATGTGTGTGTGTGTGTGTGTGTGTGTGTGTGTAACCTTGTAACTTTCTTATCTTCTGCCTCACAGAAACCTGTTTCTAACCCTGACTTCCTAGTCAATAATTCTCTATCCTCTCTTCTTCCCACCGTGGTCCTCCCCGAGGTGTAGTGTGTTTCTGTGTGTGTCCATCCATCTGTCCATTTGTCTGTCCGTCCATCTGTCTGTCTGGGGCATAAGTGTAGAAGCCAGAGAACAGCTCTGTGGACTTGGTTCTCTCCTTCCACCTCCAGGTGGGTTCAGGGTCTAAACTCTGGTCATGAAGCCTGCACAGCAAGTGTCTTTACCAGCTGAGCCATCCCTCTGGCTTGCCTGTACTGTATCATTCCCCTTGACTTTCATAAGAACACGAAGACATTTCATACATGTCACCAGAAGTATCTGCTTTTCTTCCAGTCATGAAACAGACTGGTTTTATCCGTCATATTCTCCAAATCTTCCACTCTTCCAATGATCTACCCATTTCAAAGATACCTTCATTTGCCTCCAAACATTTTATTTCCTTTTAGATTAGGCTTGGTTCTCAATGCTAACATGATTGGAAATCTAACCTCTGTATTGTTTAAAATGTCCCTGGGCTTGTTGGCCAACCAGTCTAGACAGTCACTTCATGTTCAAAGAAATCCTATCTCAAAAACAATGTAGAAGGGCTTGAAATGGTTCACTGGCTAAGAAAAAATACTGCTCTTCCAGAGGACTCAAGTTCAACTCCCAGCACCTACAATGAGCAGTTCCTAACTACCTCCAGCTCCAAGGGATCTGATGCCTGTGTCCTCTGAATACACTGCACTTGTGTGCATTCACAGACATGAACATACACATATATACATAATTAAAAACAAAACCAAGCCTAAAACAAACAAAAACAAAGTGGAGAGGGACAGGAAGACAACTCAGAGGCTAAAGTGCCATACAGTATGCTGACCTGAGTTCAATCCCAGAAACCCACATAAAAAGCCAGATGCAGTGGTACACGTCTGTAATCCTAGAACTCCTATGGTAAGATGAGAGGCTCAGACAGGAGAATCAGAATCATATAGAAGACAGGGCCAGCTAGCCTAGACTACAGAGCAAATGCTGGAAAAGAGAAGAAAGACCCTGCCTCAAAACAAGGTAGAAGAAAACGAGACTCCACAAAGCTGTCCTCTCACCTCCACACAAGGTAGCACAATGGCGTGTACCCACACATGAGACGGGAAGAGGAGAGGAGAGAAAGGGGGAGGAGGAGGAGGAAGGAGGGAAGCAGAGGGGAGAGAGGGGAGAGAAGCTAGAAGTGGAGAGCAATGACCACGCCTCCCTATGCACATGCGTGCACAAGTATAAAGACGATGCAGCACACGTACAAGCTGTACCCACACATTTTCAAAGGAAAAGGTTTCCTTTGCTTCTAGCAAAACAAAATTTACAAAATCTTAGTGAAACTTAAAATAATGGCCAACCTGGACTAGGCTATCTATTCACAGAAAACACATGATTCTAACAGAAATTCAAGAGGAAAGACATTGCATAAACATTTTCATGAGGTGACAGTGTAAATGCTAGAAAGTTGCTGCCATCTAACAAATGCACCTTCCTTTGTATAAAATGTGATGCTAACAAAAGAGACCCCATCAACTAAGTTTGGGAAATCCCCCTAAGCCACACATGGGACAGCAGCAAGGACACAGACCACAGAAATACTCCACTTCAAGGAGGACGTAGCCACAGACAACAGCAAGTCAGCAATTGGTGAGCACTGGGGAAACCTGGCACCAAACCTTGTGACAAGCAGGAGGCTTTCTAAGCCAGAAATGCTGTCCTGTAACCTCCCAGACACCAGCATAAAAGAACCTTTACCTACGTACTAACTACGTACATAGTTCCCTAGCTCTCATTTCAGAAGGAAAAAAATCTGTAACTTTAATGACTAACTCTATAGAATCAGTAAAAGTCTGGAGGGGGGGCTGCTTAAATTTTTTAATTAAATTTGTTTTCTTTTATGGAGGTAGGTCCTTAATTTGCAAATGTTTGAGAAAATAATTTTTGCAAATTCCAAAAGACTACTGTACTAATTGTCCTTCTATGTAGAATGACTGATTAAAAGCAATCTCAAAGGAAAATAGTGATGCACACCTTTAATCCCAGGACTCGGGAGACTGAGGCAGGCCAACTTCTCTAAGTTTGAAGTCAGCCTTGTCTACAGGCTGATAGCCCATCTTAAAAAAATTGAAACTAAATTTTTAAATAAATAAATAAATAAATAAATAAGTGTACTCCCGCGTGGGCAAGGTAATTTCAAAGATGCCCCTTTGGACTGAATCAATGTGAAGAGCATTTAGGTACTAAGTGCCTAGAATAAAAAATCCCTAAAACAGTTACATTACAGAGACAAGTCTCACTATAAAACTAATTTTCATGTTTCTGTAATGGTTAATGTCATTCATAACTAACACTGTAGTCCTTTTTTTTAGGGGGGAAGGGCTAGAGACAGGACTTCTCTGTGTAGCCTTGGCTGTCCCTGGACTCTCTTTATAGACCAGGCTGGCCTCGAACAGAGATCCACCGGCCTCTGCCGCCCAGTGATGGGATTACAGGTGTGCACCACAGAGGCTGGTTAAGACTGGAGTGCTTTCATTCGTGTCCTTTCAACTGCTTTTTAACAGTTACTTCAACTTTTAAATGTGGATTCTTCATCATCAATTGTACAAAATCAGCCTAATAGTATAGTCTATGGTATTAGAAGAATGACCAGAAAACACAGGACAGGCTTTCATTTAGGGAAAGAGGAATTCTGTTGATTCCCAACGATAAAACAAAGTATGTCTCAAGTACTATTACTGACAAGTCATAGACATTTCTGATGACTTCCTTCAATAAATCTGAGTAGACCTGAGTTATGTCTACCATGACATCATTGTCAATACCTTCATTATGATGTCTGCGTGGGAAAGAGAGACAAAGTCACACACAGCTGGCACCTAGAACCTTCACACTAGATTGTCACACATGTAAATATCTTGTGCTTGGATGGGGGAAAATATCAAGAATAACCAACTTAAATAAAAATGTGTGCTGCAGGATGGGACAGAAACAGATGCATAATTCAACTAAGGCCTTGGGGAAGGCTTACTGCAGTGCACCCAACAGCCATCAACTTCCTGTGCATTTAAACTGTCTTAAGAATTGAGGTCCTACAATTATAGAGGTTAAATTTTACACCGATTGAGTGAATGTGATCCAACGTGGGAGTGCCAATAAGAAATTTAATAACATTTACCATCTCTACCAATTTCAAGCCAATAT